CAGCCGCTTCAGTCCAGGCTGGGGGACTTTTCCTTCCGCCTTGTGAGGCTGCGAGTGACTTGGTTAACCTCCAATCAGTGCTTGCCTTTGCGCCTCCTGTAACCAATGAAAGGCGGAAGGAGGCGGGCCTGGGGCAGCCAGCAGGCTAGGACTAGGTGGCGCTGGGATAGGTTGTGTGAGAGTCCGCCTCAGACTCGAGAGGGAGGCGAGGCGCATTTAAAGGGCCAGCCCCAGAGTTGCCGGAAAGTTGTGTGGAGTTAAGGGGGGGCCGGCGGGGGCCTGTCAGGCGATATCGCGCCGCGGCGGACTGGGCTCAGCGCGCTTCCAGCCCACAGTGGCAGCATGGAGCCGGCAGCACCGAAAAGGTATCGAGCCCCGTCCTCGCTCTGGCACTGAGCGCAGCTGGCGGCGTGGTCTGGTGGGTGGGGGCAGGAGCTGGAGCTAGGCCTCGCCAGGCACCACTGGGCTACGGCCGGCGCCGCCCTCCCCCGGGACTGCTGGGATATGCCCCTTCTCTCCCCCACTGAGAGTGACGTGAGGAGACATTAGGCCCCCCGGCCTGTGATCCCCTCCTCCCCCTTCAGCCTTGGCGCTCCCCCTCCGTGGAGGGAGGGGACAGACGCCAGTTCAACCCTCCCTCCAACATTGGCGCTAAGCTCTCCCCCTCTGAGGTGGCACTATTGGTCGTAACCCCCTCTCCCATAAATCGCTTAACAGTCACTACCCAATGCTAGGGTGAATGCGAAGACTGGCATGTGCTTACACAATTTAGCACCAATTCCTATGGGGGTGGATGGAAATGTAGACTGGACACCTACAATGAGCCTTCCCCCAGCTCAGGGATTCTTCTTTGCTTTCTACAAACTTAGTTTATTCACGAGGGATGGAGGGTGGAAGAAGAGAGCATAAAAACACCCAACATTAAAACTAATCCAGGAGGGAAATCCTAATATATCACTCTTCTGTCTATAGAACTAATTTTGGGATGGCAGAGACTGTAACAAACTTCCTTTCAATCTTACATTGCAATTGTAGTCTGAACCTGACTACAAATGACATTGAGATTCCATATTTTTATCTCAATCCCTTCTAAATAAATAATGCTCAGTTAGCTTCTTTTGTAAGTCTTGGCCCTATGTATCTCAACTAATGGATTAAGTTAAATCAGCAACCCATATTATTCTGGAATAGCGGAATTTCTAAGTGAAGACTAACCTTTATTGAGCCCAACAGAGAACTGTCAGGATGACAATAAATCTTCTGTGAGATCAGACTACATAGTCTAGGCTCTGAACTTAAATCTATATTTTTAAAACTAATGCTGAGGAAATTGACATCGTGTGCTATGGGTGTACCACTACTAGCTTCCGTGGGGCTCTGGGCATGCTTCACAGTGCAGCTGTTAGAGATTATATTGGTAAAGTATATTGCTTTTACATTTGAAAGATCCTAGTTTTTTCACTGCTACCTTTTAAAATTTCATTTTAAAAAAAGTTGCCCACATCTAACTGCAGATCTACACTACACATTGCAGGGCAATGCCACCCCGTGAATACCATAGCTGGAGTTGCCAGGACTTAGGTCGAGTTGCCACAGGGTCAGTGGGAGAAACTCTCCTTTCAACTTCCCTGATGCTACTCATTCTGATGATTATCACCAGTCGGCCAGAGAGACTGATCAGTGGTAGATTTAGAAGGTCTACGTGAAGACTTGCTAAATCAATCCCTAGGGAATTGATTGTCACAGCATCAGTCTCCCAGTAGGATACACCTGCCCTAAGACACAGCAGAAGCCAGGAGAATATGTGAATGTTCTGTTGGCTATAGACAATAATCAGTAATACTGAATAAAAGCTGCTTGGAGTGAAATATAGCTTAAGGACACTTAATTGTTTTTAGAGGACAGGAATTTGAAAAATCATGACTATATTATCACCTCTCCGTTTTAATTATGGTTCTTCTGGAGAAAAGCTTTTCACAAAATGTGAGCATCTGAAGCTAATTGCAACTAATGTATTATCCAGAATTTTTATTAGACTGTAACAGAACAATAATAAAAGCCATGGACTTCATCCAAATGATTTGGATGGAGCTTTTACTTGAAAAACACTGTTAAAATAGCTTAATCTCATAATTAGCAGATTTATTCAAGTAAATTAGGAAGATCCAAAATTAGAAACTCTTAACAAAAAACCCTTACTGTTGTGGAATTGACAACCCCAAAGGCTCATAAATTGTCAGGTCCCTGACAGATAATGATTTAAATACATTTTGAATTTTGAGCCTTTAGGGTTCATGTATTTAGGCTTTTCTCCACAACCATGAAGATGAGAAACTTGATTCCAGAGCTTTGTATACACATGTTAAAGTTTAAAGCGCTGCTGAGGTCTCCGAGCACCCTGTGTCAGTGTTTCTCAACCTTTTTTTTTTTTTTTTTTTTAAATATCCCTTTAAAAAAAAAAAGGCCTCCCTTTTTTTAAAAAAAATTGTAAGTACCCCCAGTACCTACAGTTTTCAGACACACACAATTTTTTTCTATCCTTGCAACACATTTGTTTAAACAACTTAATCATAGCCGGGTGAACAATGAAATTTTTGGGTGTAAAAAGTACAAAAGTAATAAAGCGCTGTAAAACTTAACAAAATCAGTTTTCTCCAAATTTCAGTTGTGTTGATGTATCCCTCAGACTGCTCTCGAGTACCCTTAAGGGTACTTGTACCACTCATTGAGAAACACTGCTCTAGGTAAACAATCTACATGAGGCAAGTAGCTAACAGTGCTTGGGCTGCAGCTCCCAGCGCTATAGCATTATTCACACTGGTGCTTTACAGTGCTGTAACTTGCTGATGCTGGTGGTTTTTTTTACACTCCTAAGTGAGAAAGTTAAGATGCACTAACTTGCTAGTGTAGACAAATCCCAAGAGCTGTTGCTTTAAGGAAAACACTAAAGGCCTCATCTAACAACAAAAGTTATATTGCCTTAACTTTGCTGATAGTTAATGGGGTATAGCCCCACCCTAGTGTGAATGCAGTTATAGTAGCATGAAGTGTTTATACCATTATAGCAGGGGTTCTCAAGCTTTTGTATTGGCGAATCCTTTCACAAAGCAAGTCTATGAATGTGACCCCTTTGTAAATGAAAACATTTAACACTATTATAAATGCTGCAGGTGAAACAAGGATTGGAGATAGAAGCTGACAGCTTGTGCCCCTCCCCCGTCCCCTATAACACCTCTAGTTTCAGAATCCCTGTGCTATAGTTTATTGATGAGTATAGTTTTATGCCTCTTACAAGTATATTTGTTTTCCGTTAGAGGTGATTGTATTTTCTTTAACTGATGTAGATATAGTTGTACAAAATTGCCCTTAGACCAGGCCTTAATATCAATAATAGCAATACAGTTTTGAGAGTTAACTTATCATACATAATGTTGCTATGTGAACTATCATGCTTCAGCGCAAAACCCCAGACAAATTGATAAGGTGGGGGATTTAGGAGGAAACTTTCCTAGTGAGCAGGGGTATCCTCTGACTGCTGATTGCCAGCTTTCTTGTATCTTTCCTCTGAAGCATTGTTTCCCAAATGGTGTTCTGGGGAACCCCAGAGTTCTGTGAAGTGAAAATAAGGGTTCTGCAAGAAAATTCCATTACAATAACATTTTATGATTTAAAAAAATAATAAATATTTAAGCATTTATTAATTTTATTGAAAACAATTTTCATTTGTATTGATCTCATGACCTTGTTTAGCATTTGTTTATTATTATCCTTACTTATTTGTGGTCTACTTTTTCAGCTCCACGTAGAAGACTTATTAGGGGTTCCACAAAATTATTTCGAGTTTAAAAGGGTTCCGTGGCCAAATGAAATTGGGGAAACACTCCTCTGAAGCATATGTTACAGGGTACTTTTTGAGAGAGGGTTACAGAATAAGATGACTTTGTTTTAATCCAGCTCAGCAACTTTTGTGGTATTAAATATGTGTTTTAAAACAAGATATATTAATGACAACTCATTGAGGGTTTTTTTTTTTGCAGGTGCATTTTTATTTTATCTGGTATATATTCAAACTAACACCAACTTTAAGGCTTTTGGTTTGGGATTTTACTCACTGTTTACTTTTTGGTTTTGGAGCTGTTACTACTTCATTGACTATCTAGTGCATGTACTAGAAATACAGCCACTGTGGGTTCATCAAGTCTGTCAAATACTGATTCAGTTGCACAATCTAAAGTGAATGTATTGAGAACTTATATACTGCATTTTTCCTAGATAAAATAAATAGTATTTACAGAAAAAACCCACTTGTATTTCTACAACCCTTCCAGAATCTTGTAGCATTTTACAAGTACAAACTAATTAAATCCCTAACCTTGCTATCTTGGACTATATTTCCACTGTTTTCAGTGGGAATTTTGTTTACTCTGGTTGCAGGCAGGGTTTCCAACTTTCTAATTGCAGAAAATTGAGACCCACTGCTTCCATAAGGTCCTACCCTTTCTCCAAGGCCCTGCACCTCACTTGCTCCATCCCTGCTCCCTCTCCCACCATCACTTATTGTAGCGGTGCAGGAGGGGGTGCAGGCTCCAGCTGGGGGTGTGGGCTCTGGGGTGAGGCCAGGGATTAGGGGTTTGGAGTGCTGAAGGGGGCCCAGGGCTGGGGTAAGGGATTGTGTGTGGGATGGGCCCTGGGACAGAGTTTGGGTATGGGAGGGGAATTCATGCTGGGGCATGGAGTTCAGGGTTTGGGGTCATGGAGGTGTTTACCACAGCTCCCAAGGAAGCAGCCACCAGGTCCCTGCAATCCCTAGGCATGCGGTGGGTGGCTAGGCAGGTTCCATATGCTGCCCTTTTATGCTTGCAGGTGCTGACCCTGCAGTCCACTTTGGTCGTAATTCCTAGCCAATGGGAACTGTGGGGCAGTACCTATGAGATTGAGGGTAGTGCGTGGATCCTTTTAGCTGCCCCTGAGCCTAAGGGTGCAAGGATCTGGTGGCTACTCCAGGAGCCACATGGAGCCAAAGGCAGGAGTGAACCTGGCTTATCCCTGAGTCTCTGCTGCATTTCTGACTGGACTTTCAATTGTCAAGCTTGCAGTGCCAGCTGGAGCTTCCAGGGTCCCTCTTTGACCAGGCATTCCAGTAAAAAAAACCCGGATGCCTGGCAATCCTATTTGTAGGTTCAGACTCTAAACTTCCTAGTTCACATTTCTGTATAGTAAGTCAGGGATAGACACTTATAAATGGATAAACAAGCATAGTGACTAAGAACAGTAATGGTCATTAACTTTGCATCTCAATCAGTAGTCTTCAGTTTGAGATATCTAAGGCATGAATTCAGTGGGCATTCCAGGATGCCCAGTGTCT